AGGGATCTTGTTTCGCCTACGTTACTCTCGCGAACTGACTTCACTTTGTGACTTTCGTCAGTTAGGTTATTACGGATGGGACCTTTATTATGCTTGGTTCCAAAGGCAGGAACCGATTAATCCGCTTCCGCCAAAGGTCATTACACATGAGACCTTTATTACGCTTAGGTCCAAATGTTATTACAGATGGTACCTTTACTACGCTTGGGTGCCAATGTTATTGCAGAGGGGACGTTTATTGTGCTTGGGTCCAAAGTTATTTCAGATAAGACCTTTATTACGTTTGGGTCCAAATGTTATCATGGATGGGACCTTTATTACGCTTGGGTAAACGCTTAGGTGCAAATGTTATTACAGATGGGACCATTATACCTACACACATGATATACAAGCATACTTTATTAGTCTCCCTTGCAACGCGTTTTTCGTCCTAGGGTGGTACTCCCTTATATAGGCTACATGAGTTTGTGCGGTGCAAAACTTGGGTATGGTTTTTTAGCCCTTTTGGTCTGGAATAGGGTATCAATTTCGACCATTTTGGTCTGAAAAGGGGTATGGTTTGTGCACTCTAGTCTTGAATTGGGTATTTTTTTAGAAGAAGCTACTTCTTCATCATTTAGAGATAAGACCATTTCCCTTTTAATGCCGAGTACGCCAACCGTGTACGTGCCGTAACAGCTTGTCACGCGCTCCGGTCACGCACCGGGGGCCAGGGCTTCAGGTCTGAAATAGGGTATCAAATTTTTGATCAGGTGTGAAATAGAGTAGGGAAAATCACAGATTTTGGTCTGAAATAGGGTAAGGAATTCAGGAAGGGTGCCGCCAGCCCCCACCCAATTTTTCTGGATGTACCCAACCTGGGTTTTTCGTCGTATTTTATACACAAATGGGTTGGGGGGGGGGGGTAAACTGCATGGTAAGAAAAAAAAAATTGAGATTGTCTGCTCATTCATGGCATACCTATAACATATACGTTAGAGATGGATTTTTTTTTGCACAAATTAGAAGTAATCGCTGTGTGTCATGTTTATGTAACGCAATCAGGTCTAAAACGGCCCTTTCACGAGACACGTGAGATGTCGAGCGAGCGGGAATTTTGTTGTAGTTTGCATGTCTCAGTTTCTTTGCGGAAATGAAGTCAAACAAGGACACAAGGTACAAACAAACAAATTGTAGACCTCAGTATATACTAGAAAGGATAGGTATTTGGTGTAGATTTTGAAAACTTGTGTAGTTTCGTGATAAGAACTTGACCCACATGTTTACATTAGCGAAGCCAGTTGAAATACTGCACCTGACGGCCAGAGTAATAGTTCTTTACGGCTGACAAAAGGGCATGAAACTTTCCACCTAATGTATATGACGCATCTATGTATTACTGTGGGACTTGAGATTGCCTAAATTAAACGTATTTTGGCTGAAACATTTGTTGGAGGATTGATTTTTTTGTGTCGCGTTAACAAGAAACTTTTAACTTCTCAAGTCAGAAAAAGGTCAAATCAGTTTTACACTCAGGGTATAAAAAGTGCATTTCCGTGAATTTTGCGTTCCCAAAAATTCATTTCATATGCTGCCCACAGTTTTGAAAGCATATTTTGAAATCTTAGAGATTGCTTTTTAATGTGGAATATCTTTTTCTGTTTGAAATCATGCATCGGATGTGATTTTAGGCCTTTGAAATTTGACAATATTTTGCTCGCGTAAAAGCCTTAAAATTTTGTAAATATTTAAAATCCATAAAATATTCCAGTTGCAATCAATTCAAGAACATGACCATTCAATATGTGTATTAAAACCCTTTTAATACGATAAGAAGCTTTTTGGGTTGGATGATAATTGAATTCGATTGAAAGCAAGGTCTTTTCGTTGCCCGGGATTAAGGACCAAATTAATATCAATGAATGAATGAATGGCTAATTAGTTGAATTAGTACTTAAAGAGGCAATACCTTTATGGTCATGCAAATAAAGCTTTTGTTGTTGTTGTTGTTGTTGTTGCCCGGGCTAGAGGCCCGAAAAAGCGGTCTGGTGGAGGGCGTCAATCGCCCGAACTTGACACTCGCCGTATCGCCAAAATATTTATCCAATGAAACTAAAATTTATATTTTTATTACTAGAATACCAGGGGGAGTCTACGTAATTTTTTTGGGATTTTTCAAAAATATCATTTTTCCCACCTCTGGTCGATATTTACGGACATCCGCTCTATAAAATCCTTGCATGAAGAGTTTACGGTTCAGATTGAACTTAAAGGCAGATACTGACTCAAGAGTTTTAAGATAGCTTTCCAGGAGTTCCAGATACTAACTATTCTGTAATAAAATGTCTTCTGACCACTAGAAGACTTGAAATGAGGAATGTTCTGCATCTGTGAACTCCTCGTGGCACGCCCGCTTATTTCTCCTCGCTCAATGAACTGGGAGGAAAGGTACTCCGGTACGCGGGATGTAACTAAAGGCATTTAAGGGCCATAGCGTTCCTTAAGTGTAACTGAGTTGTTGCTACTGGTAGCCATTTAAGCTCTCTTAAAACTGGTGTAATGTGATCATATTTGTGCGGACTGGTCGCAATTCGAGCAGCAAAGTTCTCAATACTTTGTAATTTACATACATTACTTTTTTATGTATTCCCCCATACGTTCGAGCAATATAAAAGCTCACCAAAAACTAAAGCATTCAAAATAGTTAGTGGGGTGTGTTTGTCAAAAACATGTTTTCTGCGGTTCATTTGACTGAGACAAGACATTCGATTCAGGAGGAGACAGTTTTCGTAATGTGCTCTTCATAGGATAGGTTAGTGTCCAAGATTACCCCAAGATCTTTAGCAGTTTGTTTTGGTACCTGCTACCAAACACCATAAGTTTTATTTTGCTTGGGTTCAACAATGAAATGTTGATGGAACACCATTAGCTTATTCTATGCAAGTCATTCCTTGAGTCAGCAAAGGCGTTTTCAGTATCTTTCATTTTGAAGGATTGGACGCTACATTTCTGTGGTGCTGAAGGAAGATCTTTAGTGTATATGCTAAATACCTGATAAATGAAAGTGGTCCGAGAATACTTCCCTGCGGAACGCGGCAGTTAATGGTTAAGGGCTCTGGCAAGATGTTGAATGGATTCGTACTAGTTGTGGTCTTTCATTTAGGTAGCCAAAAATAACTGGATAACTGGGTTCGGGGCGCCCACATCGTGTAATTTCAAGATGAGGGTTTCGTAGTTGACACTGTTTAAGACCTTGGTCATGTCGAAGAACACTTCCGAAGTCAACATTTTTGGTCTATCGCTCTAACAGTCGTGTCAGTTGTTTCTATGACAGATGTTTCCGACGAATGCCATTTTTTGTTGCCGCTTTCGGTCTTTGTTTACCTATCATTTAGTAGCAAAAAATGTAAATAAGAAGAAAATTGATTGTGTACGACCCTTTCACAAACTTTTGATAAAACCGGTAAGAGCAAAATTGGCCTGTTATTATTCGTCAGTTCATGGTTTCAATTTTAGGGAGAGGTGTTGCTTCAGCTAATTTCCAAGTGGAGGGAAATTTGCAAGTTCCAATAGAAGTGTTAATAGCAGACGTGATCACTGGTGGAAGAATTGGGGCAGACCTTTAAAACACCAACAGAAATCTTTGTTTGATGGTATTGATGATGGCATTTGTTATGCGTTCGATCTCTCCACCTTTATTACGCTTGGGTCCAGTTATTACACCTGTGCCTTCTACAGCTTCATTAATTTTATCATGTTATTCAGTTGGCATGCTGTCCTGCAGAAGCGTTAGAGTTTACCCTGAGCCATGATGAGACCGTTAAGAAGAAACGCAGAGCTTTCGAAATAACGCCATCTACTTCAGTAGATTTTCTTTAAAATTTAAACACAAGAGATATCATCATCATCATTCATTGCATTTATATATTTAGTGCCTATATGGAGAATTAGCGCGCAAACAGTACCGACTAAAGTCCAGTGTTAGCCTGGGCGGCGGAAGTGAAATGGGAAGGATAGGATTTTTTACGGGTACTCTGGCTTTCCTCTCTCCTTAAAAACCAACACTTCCAAATTCCAATTCGATCTAGAACGCACAGACACGTTTCAACGAGTTCTTAAGAACTCCCAAGTACTCCGTGGGTAAACCAATCACAATTTACAAATTTTACAAATAAAGATACAGCATACGATTTGACATTCCCCACTTTTTATTTAACACCACCCAAATCAGACTGAATGTTTATACATGCTAATGCAATAGAATAAATGCTATATGTTTGTCCTTTCTTCCAAGCTATTTTTCTATTATCTCTTCATAGAGCATCAGGCCTCTGTCGGTGGATCTGGTAAAAATAGCAAAAGTGCATGTAATGGAACTACATTTTTGCACATGTCACACGAGAAAAATTCCGAGGACAACCAAAGTTGGAAGAGGTAGTAGGCCGAGTTTAATTTGGCTGTCAAAGGAACTATTAAATTCAGCTATTTGTAAATCGGAGATAAGTATTTAATTCTCTTACTTAATTATATGGCTGATCAGTTATCATGTCAGTTATTCGGAATTCTCCGTACACTATGTAATAGCTTGCACACAAGAAATGTTTTCTGCCACCGCCATTTCGCGTTCAAAGGAGGCAAAACAATGCAAATACTGAGTTCAAACGGATCCATACAGAACTGTACTGTCTCTAAAACACCTGTCGGTAGGCAACAACATGGCCAAAAGAAATCGCCTAATTATTTTCGCTCATCAGTTATTTGATTTAGAAAATAAACATTAATGTACCATACAGCGGGTTCAAATTATCTTCAGTTTTTCAAAAGAAAAATCAATTTACAATTATTTTGCGACAAAACCAGGAAAAGTCTATTTCTTACTTTTCTAGATACGCTTAGTGCTAAAACACTTTATTGCTGATCGTGAAGCAGCTGCACGTGGTGGGTTACAGGCACGTAGGACAAGAGGGCAAAGCGCACGAAGAACAGGAAAAATGGGATTAGTCATTTTATTTTTCTAAATACTAAATAACCCTTGTAACGCACTGATGCTTCATAATAAACATACAAGGGTGGTACTCACCTAGTTCAAAGAAGTCCAGCTTCAGCTTGTCAATGCCGCAGCTTGCCCAGTACACCAGGCTCACACCTTCTCCAGGCCATCCACCATTCGGATGGACGCAGAAGTTATGTTTAAGATTTTTCAGGGCGCTGTTGCTTTTCAGTCTAAAATGAAAAAATGCAATTATAATCATCCGGCTATATAGTTGAAAAGTATGGATTTGCGAAATCCCTGGTTGAAATTTAAGAACGCTTCAAAACGTTAGATAAGAAATACTTCGGTTACCAGTGATTTTGTTAACTCTGCGCGCTGCGTCCCTGACGCACAAAAATCCCCAAAGACGCAAATTAAGATCAACCGATTTGAAGATTTTTTGGTAGAATATCCTGTTCGTGTGATTTCTGTAGTTGTTGTTTAAAGATGCATACTTATTTTAGTTCTTTTTTTTTTCCTTGCTTTAAATATATAGAAGGACTACATTTTAATTTCAGAAAACTGTAATAAAGAGTTTTGCGTAAGTCTCCATATTAACTGTTTGGTTACATAAAGGCCTAAGCATTTAAATTTAGGACTCCTTGTTTGTTTGTTTTTTTTAACTGGGACTTATTGGTTAAAGACAGGGAATCATAATTTTTCACAAAATGAGTCCCAGGACTCGCCTGACTATAACTATTTGTAACAAAATCACTGGTTAGTACTATTCTTTTCTTAACTTCATCTAAAGTTGTTCAAAGGAACCCACCAACCCCCAACTAAGCTGCCAGTGATGGGAAGTTTAAGGCGCAACTCACCCTGGGCATAATTTTTCTTAATGCACGCCCGAGTTTAAGCAAATAGGTGGACTTGGAGTTTTTGTAATGAGTTATTGAATTCCGGACAACAATTAAAGAAAACGCTCTGTTGCTTCTTTCCTAAAAAAAAAAGACCCTCACACCCACACACTCAAAACGGTACGACACTGAAATGTTGCATGTGGTAAGCCATTCCCAAAAATGGCAAGGCTTTTCGAGTCGGGCGAAGCAAGAACGTGGTAAAAACTTGGTGGAAAAAAAACTAGGTGGCCACCTTACCACCGCGCTGCTAACCATCACATCCTGGCATCTCCTTTTTTAGTAGGAGCTTGCACAACATGAAATACCCTGTCTAGGAGACAGGGAAACTGAAACTACCCAATAAAGGGGCACGTCCACGTTTTGGCCACAAAAGGAATTGTTTGGCTGATTGGTAGGAACTGTATGAATGGTAACGGTTAGGAACAGTGGAAATACAGTTAAACCTCTCTACAACGGCCACCTTGGGGAAAGAAGAAAGTGGCCGTTGTAGAGAGGTTTTAATGAAGAGTCAATGCATGGATATTAGCTGATTTTTGGTCCCTCGGGACGAAAAAAAGTGGCCGTTAACTGAGGTTGAACTGTACATTAAGACAAACCTTATGTGCCTTGAAATGCTCAAGTCGCAGCTATCCTTCAGCATCAGTTTCTTGCCGTATGTAGGGTTATTGTCTATAAAAGATGATAATCAAGTTCGAATTATCTTGTATCATCCTCTTTGTTGTGCAATGTACTGAATAAAGAGCCATAATAGGACTCTTGACTGAATACTACACACGCTGCGGCGTCATTATCAAAATAGACATACGGCCCACATCACAGAGAGATTTATTATCTTTATGAAAGCCAATACGTTATATGTCAGAGATTTAACTGTTGACGAAAGATTTAACAAATGAAAGATCGACTTATTGAAGACTAATGTGCTGTGATATTTATTAGTAGCCGATAGACGCTCCGCCGGGTAGCAACGAGTTCATATAAGAACCTAAGTCCTGACCTTGCAAACTATTGCTTGGTTTTATGTCAACAAGAAGGAAAAATGGGTCTCTCTTGAAGTCACAGCTATTAGGCTGATCCTTAGAAAGTTGATTCCCTGGGAAACTAGTACGTGTAATTTCAACAGATACAAAAGAAAATGCTATTACCTTGAGGACAGATCACTTTCTTGCTGCATTTGTGGTGAATAACCCCATCCCAGTCAAAAACAAAGATCATATCAGTTTCATTGCATGAACTGCCTTTCCTTTTGGTAAAGATCAGGTAAGTTCCATCTGGGGAAGAGCAGCCTTCGTTGTTGGGTGCTACGCAGTAATCACCATAGGTACGTATTCCACTCTCTGTTGATTAAAGAAAAGACAAATGCACTTATCAAGGATAAGTGGCACTTTAAGGTAACACGGCAGCGACGAGTTATGGTGTTACTAACTTGCCCAAAAGACGAGCTATTTAAGCCAAGCAAGGAACACGAAAAAATTTCAGAGAAAAGCGAAATTAAAGCGGTGAAAGCTTCCGACCTACGAAGGGCCGGCTTTCCCTTCCTTCTTGCTGGTGGCTCCAGCATGTCTGACGTCGTAGTACCCAGGATCTTACAAGCTCACAGTTTGTTTGAAGTTTCTTGTGGAAAACGTTGCGTATTTCAAGGTATAGGACATTTACAGCATCATTTTGACATTGAAAGTTGAATAGTGCCATTTCCTTTCTGAGCAAAGGAAAAAAGGGGATTTCAGAAAGCTTTGAGCCCTTCCTTATTACACCATTACCCAACAACTTCCGTAAAGAACGACAAAAACGACCTTAAACATTGTTAAAAATGAAAAGGCATTAACGGGCAAGACAACAAATCTGCACGTTCACCAAATAGTCTTTGCGGTACAAATCGGCTTTGTCGTCTTTTCATTAAAAAACAATGTAGACATTTGAAATATTTATTGGCCTGTTCCAAGCTCTCTAGGGACGACGCGTAAGTGAAACGCACGCGAAAATATCATTACGTGATCTGAGAAAAGGGGGTGGTGAGGAAATCAAACAATGAAAATTAATCAGTTTCCTTGTTTATCTTGTCCCTCCAACGGTAGGAACTGCATCCAAATTCAGAGTGAAAAGTACTCGCTCAAAACATTCAAACAAATTGAAAGAAGGTATTAATAACACAGTAAATACAAAAGGAGGCATTAGGATCGATGGACAAACTGGAAGTCGATTAAAAGGGATTCAAATATTGGCTTTTTAAAAAGTTTTTATCCGAAAAGTTTTTCACAGTTCATTCACTTCGTCGGTTGTAACGTTTGATGCAATGCTTGAGAATTATATTTGTTGCTCGTTTGCAAGCAATTTCTTCCTATAGAGCCTACTAAAGTAGTATTAACGACATTAACTAGACAGCCGAGACACAGCCCATATATATCAATTTATTTGTACTGGAGGGTCCGGTGCTACATGAGCAGCATTGTTGTGTGAATGCGTTTCTGAAATGGGAAAACCAAAATATAATTCCTTAACAATAATGCATCGCTCACCAGGACAATAAAAGCAAGGGCGTTCCTCCTCAGTAACCAAACTTGCATCGCACTGTTTCCCACCACAGCGTGGTTTGGGATTGGTACAGGTTTTGTACCTTTTTTGCTTGCCATGCTCGCATAGTCTGTTACATCTTCCCCACAGACTCCATTCAGTCAGCCCACCGTGCACTAAGAACCATAAAATACATTTCATTATAACAACAAATATTATCGGCTTGTAAGCACAGCAGACATCAGCAAGTATTTAAAAACCCTTGGTCACTTTCCACTATGTACCGCGGGCATTAAGCTATTTTAAAATTTCGTGGTCCACCTCCCCTGTTTCAAGAGGCTCCCTTAAGCCTTAAGTTAGCTTGCTCGCTAGCTACATTGTGACAAATGAACCGCCTTCTGCTTGCAGAATCATTTCTTTCCAGTCATCAATTCATATTCAAGCGACTGTGTCTCGTTTTCTTTAGTTTTGTTTTATTTTTAGTTGTTATGAATTATGTACAGGTTTTTCAATGGACTGCCCGAAAAGCCGTCGTTGTTTACGTGAAAGATCGAGGTTTCAGTAGTTGTTCAGATGACTATCAGCAAAAGAGAATGATCTGGCTCATTCTCTCTTGTTATCAGTTGACAAAACAAAATGGACCGGTATATTGGCTATGTTCTGCGAGGTTTTATTCATAAATCTTTGAATAAAATAATTTTTATATTATTTGATTTCGGGCCCGAAAAAAAAAGACTTCGATCGAGAAACATGAGACTGACAGGGCGGCTGAGCAGACACTACTAAAACCTTTGGGTGTGGATAATAAATTTGTTCCTTTATAACAAGTCTAACATGTAATTTTCGAATTATTTTGTTGTCGCTTGTTGACTGTGAGTTGAGACTCATTGATACATGACCAATCCACCAAAACCGGAATTTTCTGAACGCTTTGTTTTTCATTGATTGAAAAAAAAAATTCGGTGAGATATAAAGAAAGTTTGAGATGGCTCCGAAATCGACAGCAAACTGCTCCCGCCGATGAAGCGCATTTAGAATTAGCGGTATGCCCGATGTAGATTACACCTTCAGCCAACGGCAAATTCCTGGCAGTATCCTGGTTCGTCGGAGGTTTCATTTTAGTTTACGTCGTAAATGTCACGTCATCTATGCGAGAGAGAGGGTTGTTGTTCAAGCACAATGCAGCTGAAATGCAGCTACATAAACAATTCTCTCTATAAATAAATAAAAAATATACATCACGTTATTCCACCTGGTTTTCTATCTTGATCGCAGTCATCTTCATTTACCCAATACCAGATCACTCCAGGATCCCTCATTCCTCCATCCCGGATCCAATCGGCTGGGTGTCGATCTGTGCCTCCCCATATGATGGAACCCGAGGGGTAGTACGTTGGGCTAGTCGAAGTCGTCAGTAAAGCCTTCTTATGGGTTCCTTTAGAGTCAAACCAGGGCATTCTCTTGTTTAGAGACTTCCACCAGGAATACTCCCAGTTGTTAAACTTTCGTAATAATTGCACGTTGGTTTGTTTGTCGTTTGTAGCCATGAAACTAAAGAATAAAGTAGATCTTATTAACATATCATGATTTACAATAATAATAATTATGATAGTAATAATAATAATGATAAGGATAATAATAACAAGTTGTATCGCGATGGAGGTCTCATAGAAATAAGCGATTATGAATTAGTGGGAACTTAAAGCCATAAAGAATCTTAAATTAACAAAAATAATTTCAACTCAATTCTAAATTTAATTCATAACCAATTAAACTTTATAACAAGCGGTGCTAAGCAATAAAATTTGTGTTCTTTAACAATCGGTGTTGCACAAGCAGCTAAAAGTTCACAGTTCCGTGCACACTCTAGCCTATTCAGTTCGTAGTCAGGCAGGTCGTATGAGAAGCTGTTACATTAATCAAGTTGACTGAATACAAATGCATTGAATGAGGTTATCGGTCATTTAACTCTTGTGAGAGGTGCAACCCGGCCCTGAAAAAAGTGAATAACTTCATCACCATGAGCTAGTTGAGGGTAGGCAAAGGGTAGCCTCTGAGCGAGTCCTCCTCTCCCCGGCCCCCACAGATCATGTGTGAGCCCCCTGTACCACCCCATTGAGACCCTCTCTTGTAACTTAGTTGCGTGGAAGGCGCAAGGAGACATCTCTCCCTCTAATTCACATCTGACTTATCCCCTTTGAGTCACCACCTCCTCTCGTTTTACGCCTATCTTGCAAGTTAATGTTATTTAGAGCGCGACTGGGAAATAAGCTTTCTTTAATGTCAAACCTATATGAAGATGGAGCCCGAAAAATTCCACCCCAATGACGACGAGAGTTAGCATCCATCATGTATTGGAAAGAGTCATTATTACTGAGACTTTTAATGCTGTCAGCTAAGTACAAGATGGAGTAGTCATTATGCAGTGCTGGATGAAATTCGTTCCTGTAAAGAAAGGAAGAATTTCAATAGATACTTGGAGATCCTCTTTGCAGTTACCTCTATTATCCAAGATAGAAATGCGGGTACACTTAGAAGCAGAGCTTTCGCGCGCGCAAAGTGCAAGCAGCGGAGCACCATCGGTAAGAAAATTTAGATATTATACCCATCCGAGAAAATATGGTTATGATGTCAGCGTACTCTGTCCGTCCGTACACTCTTTGGGGATGAGGGAAGGGAATCAGGTGTCCGCCCGTCGGGGAGAGGAATATGTTATATTTTCTTTGCGGGAAATCGTGCGATGCATTTGCACAACCCACGTTTTTTCTTGGCGGGACATTCCAATTAATCTGAGGGTGTCACGTGACGACGGTCTTGCGGTCGCGTTTGCAGTTTGCAGTTCACTTTGGAAAGCCAGGAAGGGCTTCCAGCGGTTTTATATCTATGGCAAGGATTTTGGCCATTAAACATTGTACAGCCTCTCGTTAAAAGTAAAGCACTTCGACTTAACGAAAAAAAACATTACTGCACAAAACAACAAACGCTTTGCTAAAATTCGAATTCCTGGAAACTTGAAGCTGCAATTATCCCTAACCGCAAACTGAAAACTGCATTTTGCAGTTTCCCACGAAGCACCTAATGCTAAAGTTCTCTTGATTACAGTTACCTGCGCGGTACTTGAGCCCTGGTCCAATTGTTGTTTGCACTGGTGACTAACAGAGTGAATGCACCATCAGAAGTGGTCATATCACAATAGACAGGTAGGTACTGGGTACTATTTACTCGTATCATTTGGAAACCATCGTCATACTTGTTGCCAGCTCTCAATCCACGAAGTTTTATGTCGTTGCATGAAAATCTAAAATTAAAAGGGGTCAGCCACAAAATGATTAGAAATTTAAACTCACCGAAAACTGCTCCGAAATAGCCTCTAAAATGATTCAGAGAATACATAAAAGTGAGAAGACTGGGCTCTGAATAGGCTTCAACTAATAGGGGAGAATGTTGTCAGCAGACAAATTCAGCTCGGAAATGGAATAAATTGTTAACTGGTACCTTAAAACTCCAAATATCTAATTGATAATTGAGATTTGAGCACTGATCACCATGCAGACCCTAAAGCAAGGTAAGTCTTTGTTTGAGTTATTTCGAATCTATGTTCAAAAGAAATTAGCATTAAGAACTAATTATTTTGGGGTTTTTTCCATTCCCCATTTCCGTGTTTAAGGCTTTCTTGGTCAATGGTTTTCGGTGACGTATGAGAAAGGGGATCACTCACTCGAATAGGCCGCTTAAGAAAATGAGATGTAGGGATTGAGCAAGTTTATTCCCAAACATTTATAACATTCACATCGCTTCCAACTGCTGACCAAGTTTGAGCTTCCTGTGGTTTATAGGAAAGATACTTGTAGATCCATAATGACATCTTACCTCGTACCCTCCCGCATCCAATATCTCACCACTCCCGGTTTTGGTTTTTCCTTCAAGTATGTTGGCGAACCTGCGGCACCGCTGTTGAATACTAGAGTTCCTGAAGTGTCATCTGCCACAGATGTACTACTTAGCAGAAGGTCACGTGTCAAACCCAATCTGGGCATGCGCCTTCCCACGTTGCTGTTTTCGTCCCAGGAGTCAAACTTCTTAACAATTTTAACTTTGGTTTGTTTGTCACAGGTTGAAAGAAATGTGTAAGTACGCGGTGCTTCCCATATCCCACCCCAGCGGCTAGTACCATCTGCCTCAATACGATATTGGAAATAATCCTGTACACAAAAGAATGTTAAATTCGTGTTAAATAGGGTTTAAAAAAGTTATTTGTTTAGTAGTTTCATCAGGTTTCCTAAGATGTACTTCTGATCTTATATGAAATCATGGTAAATTAATTCCAATGGTCATGCTCCACTTTACCACTTTCAACAAACTGATCAACAGAATCTTCCATTATATTTATTCAGATATTTTTTGTGTTAAAACAATAGAGAAAATCAAAGCAAATAAAAAACCAAAACAACGTTTTTGCCCAGACAGTGAGCTGCCAAAATAAACTGCAGAAATTCACCTGAGACTGATCAAAGTTCTTAATGGCGTCCGCAAATCCAAGTATGGAAAAATCATTTTGTAAAGATGGGTTATCTGAGTTCCGCTGTTTAATTTTGTCTGCGTCCCAACCTGTGCGAGTTTTGCTCGTTAAAAGGAGAGTCCAGGGACCTCCTTCCGTTGTGAAGTCACAATACGTTTTGACTTCATGATGTCCAGGTGGTTTGATTGTAAAAATTCCATCTGAAGAAAAGGACAGTGAATTGAGACAAAATTAAAAGGTGTTCTCTATGATAGTGAATATGTAAGTAATCATACGGAATTTATTTCTGTGAGTAATCATATCGTCAAAGAGTTCTTGCCTTCAATAAGTTTTAAAGTAAGCAACAGTTAATTAAATTTGGACGTCCCTATTCTGTTTCTGTTTAAGTAGCATACGCAGTTAGCTAAAGTTAGGCTAATCTCGTCCAGATCTTTACGGAATCGTGGTTTGGGGGAAAGCCGTCACAAAATTACAAACGTTTGATAGGATTTTTAAACATGTTTCAAGAGTCTTAACTTGATCCCTGTTCAAATTTACAGCACCAAACTTGGTCAAATAACCAGTCTCAACATGTCCTTTCATACGGTGGTGTCAGTTTATCCATTAATTTAAATTTTACACTCGCCCAAGTTCCCTACGCAACTCCGAAATGGCCAATAGAGGAATTAACTTTTAGTTCTAACTGGTTTTGAGGGACCGGGTTCGAATCGCCTTGAGGCAAATTTTTCGTAACCTTATTTTTTTTCTTTTTTAAAAATCTCTTTTTTACTCTCTTTTTTGCCTGTGTGGTGCATATAACTAGTAAAATAATGTGGTAAATTGAAAACAACGTTTACAGGAATATAAAAAATTCAGTATGTATCATAGCGTATACATCTACCGGTATTTCAGTAATAGTGGACACTGTTATCATTACCCAGCTCAATCGTCGATTTTCAAATGTGCCTAATTTAATTTGAGAGGAAACTGCTTTGAGATGGGACGTCTAAATCAACTAAATTCAACAGTTTCAAATTAAATACGACTTTATCGAAACTGCGACTGAAACAGTCGAAAATTCGACTTAGGTTGATTTAGAAGTCGGATTTCGCATGTGCCAAACTGTATAATGCATTAATTATAGAAACCCTTTTCCATATTGCATTAAAAAATTTTCTAGAGACTGGGAATATTTACAACAAAGGGAGTTGAATTCGGTACCATCAGATATCCGACGTCTGAATCAACTGCCGTATTTAATTACTTTCATCGACTAAAATAGGTGTAATTCGGCACTTACAAGAAATTCCAGGTTTGAAAGGGCCTAACATGACATAAGTTTCAGCTTAGTGGTTTGCAGGCTGTTATCAAGATGTTGTTTTCTTTTCAGTAAGAGCAATTCGTATCTCTCTTTGCAAATCAATTTTATTACCTTAATCGGCTTGTGCCGCGACTAAAGAATCAGCTGTAATTGTTGATTTTACTTTCTCGTTTTGACATGATTTGTATGTCAGTGGAGATGATTTGTATATCAAAAAGAGCGATCAATTTTCATCCATCCATTTCAATAAAAGCAAATGGAATCACTTTTCACTATAGCGGACAACCTCGAATCGTGACTTCGTCGTATAAATGGGCGGCACCGAAGAAAGACGAAAAAAGCTAACCCTTTTTGAGCAAATTATTTTAAGGTTTAAGCTCGAAGCTTTCTTTAGTGTAAAATAATTATAATTTACTTTTACCGGTATCACTTGTAATAATAATAATAATAATAATAATAATAGTGATGATTAAGAGGTAACTCATCCTCAAAGTACAAAAAGTGGTTTTTCTTCTAGCATTCCTGGTCAAATTGGAATTTGGAAATGTTGGTTTATTGCATGAGGAGGGGAGAAAACTAACGTCCCCGAACCAACAACAAACTAACCCTCCTATGGCGTCGACGCCGGGATTTGAACCCGAGTAGGTGGAAGGGGAGTGCTCTCACCACGCATTACCCTTGCCCCCCTATGAAGTAATGTCTCCACATTACATTGGCTATGTCGTAGGTTGATGTCTGTGTGTTCCTTTCTATAGGATTGGTTCCTCAATTTTTCAAAACCAGTTAGCGTTGACCATATTTAGAAGTCTTGAGCAAAATCAAGTACCAATGAAGTCAATGGTACAGGATATCACGAAAAAAGGGACAGCGACTGAAAAACCTGAGGACGATTTTGCGTTAGCCCAGCTGTTCTAGTAAACTCGAGAAAGTAGTGGACGAATTTACAGGTTGTGATGTAAGAAATAGCCCCACGGCTGCCTAAAACAAAGTAAGAACAGCAAAAATACAACTCCACGAATGACAATTACTATTTGAATAATATCTGCTACACTACATTTGCCGGGGAGTAGACAAGAAAACATTGATCGAGGTAAGCATATTCTAAAGTACGAATTATTTTGAATGATTTATAAAACGCGACAACTATTGGATTGGGCTTTCGTATGATCTTAAGAATTATATGTTGACCTTGGAGGGTGTTATCGCCCTCGGTAAACACCCTCCTCAATTTTAATTCTATTGTACATGCTAATTAACTTGTTCAAAGTTAGCTTTGGAAATCGTGAGGTTATTACGTTTCAATGTGGCTTCGTATTTTTATTACCTGAAACTGGGTTTGTAAGAAGCCCTCTGAAGCTGACTTCCATACATGATTTAGGGATTTGATAAGGACCCTCTCTCATCCAATACCAAATATAAGATGGCTGGCTTTCTTGAAGGTGGCCATTGATCCAAGGAGCAGGATGATAACTCCTGTCATTCGCTGTCACAAATAATTATAAATCCATATTTAGCGGTAAACTTGATTTTGAAAGACAATAAAAGCCCGCGAACCTATATTCACCGACGACATGTCAATTCATCGAGGTTCTTAAAAGCCTGCATGCTTCACGTAAAATCCCGGGGGACTCTGGTATGACGGAGACGGGGATATCGTCTCCTTATAAGGGGTGAAAATTTAAACTTTTGGTTTCATGTCTGGTAAACATATATACATGGAAGGAAAGCAGATATTTTTACCGATAGAGACATCAGTTAGGTTAGGGTTTTTTAAAGAAAGACCTACAAATAATTTCAAAATATTTTGCACAATTTAATTTGAAATAGATTTAGCTGTTAAGTGATGATTCTGTAAATATGTTTCCCGTTTTAGTAAGGTCTTCTTAAATAGGTCAAATAAAGCCTAAGCCATGATCAGATTAGTCTTCTTTAGGGTTCAATTCTAATTCCGTGACGTCGCTCATCCCTGACCCTTTCATACTTGAGTCACCTTCTGGTGACGTAAATTTTGCTTCTTTAACCGCTTTCTTTTTTACTTTAAACCTAAATATTTAGCATGACGTCAAACACGTCCTAGTTACATCCTATAAATTTTTCCGTCTGAAAAGTCTTGTATTTTTATATCTTTTTCATTACAACTAACGTTTTTGACGGTCAAATTTGAAGTACTCAATTTTTGCATACAACTGGGATAGATTTGATGGCATTGATGATTATTTCAACAACGTATAATTAATCATCAAGTGACAATATATTTACATACTTATATAACAGTTCTTTCTGTCAGTACCTACCCGTTATTGTTCCCCACCAGTTAGAGTAGGCGTTCCCTGAGGTTGTCAATCTAGCATCAGCAATCCACGGCATTCTTTGCTCAATGCCACTGTTCGAGTAATCCCAATTATCAAACTTTTTAATAAGCACCACGTCCGTTTGCTGGTTGTTTTTTGCCGTAAAAGTATAAGCTCGCTGCGCCTCCCAAATACCTCCCCATCGGCCTGCAGAGAATAGTATATGAAAGGATATGAGTCCTCTTTTGAGCATCTTTAAAATTTTTCATGATCGAATCGACTTCATATAAACTACCGTCAAAAATATTATGACACAAAGAATAACATAAATGCGTTCCGAAGTAGATCATAGAGTTTATGGTAGTGTATGACCGCTTATTGACTGAAACAACAAAATAATAATTGAAAAGACCCTAATGGACCGATACCATGAAGAGATTTATGGTCTGTAGGTTGCCCAAAAATGGAACTCCTTACTCTGCGAGTGTCCCGACACAGCTGCTACAAGGCATTCAGCCAAGTGACAAGCAAGGCATTTTTATACGTTTTGTAAAGTAAGATTTTATTGTTTGATTTGTTCTTGCTATATACATATAATTTTGAAAAACTTAATACACGCGGACCCCGCAAGCTTCTTTAGGCTGCATTCATAATACCTTGGTTACGGAAGGGGGAGGGAGGAGAAGCAGAGGATCGTAATTTTTTTTACAAAAGAAGGGGGAGGAATGATAATATTTTTAAGAGATGAAATCCAGAAACCATTTTCTTTCCTAATTTAAGTTAGCCTTGTTTCTACCGGGTATCATGGCAACAACTCACTTTAAAAACCTTTAAACTGCCAAACTCATGTATGCAATTTCGCCAGTGAGCTGAGCCACCAGAATTTCTCTGTACAAATACCTTTATGCCAGAAGAACTACAACTTGAAGTCCTCTGCATAAAACGTATCCCTGCACTATTGTTCTTTTGATCTAGGGGGGAATGTATGAAGGAGGAGGGATATGATTGTTTATGAAATATCCACTGCTCCCCCTCCACCGTTAGCTATGCATTTCATCGTACGTAACAAGAGATGATTGGTACCTTCGGCCCAGAATCATGCTCTTATTCCCTTTTCGATGTTTCTCTCATTTTTACTCGTGGTCCGGTTAACGCCTTGCTTTGATTTAAAGGTAAATAGTTTCTAGTCAGACGTAAGCTGAAATGTTCACTCACATGTACATGTAGGACAAGAATTGAAGCACGCGGTAAGAATTTAAATAGCAGTGAAACCCGTAACATTGTGAAATTAATGCATAAACTGGATGGGTGTTCAGGAAAGGGTAACTAGTAACTTTTTATCTCTATCCCTTCGCTCTTGGTACTCGGTGTTTGTCGCCACTGACCAGTTTGCGTTGAAAAAAGAATAGTAATAGAGGCTGTGACAATCTAAAGTCCATAACTGCCATTCATTATTAGTTGCTGCTTGCATTAGCTGGCGTATGGAAAACGTTCAAGTTAGAAAACCCCACCGAATCATTGGCTTCTGCAAAACTTCCTTCAGAATAAATGACAGTCGAGATCGAGCGCCTACTGCAACGGGCCTCCGTCCTTCTTGGTTGCATTTGGAAGTGTAACATTGGGAAATGGATCAAGTTTATATACAAGCAGCTCCTTTTCCCGTCCGCTGTCAATCCCGACACGCACTCCTTATTTCGACAACTTTATGGAAAATAGAGAACAGTAATTAAACAGTCTAAAATGTAAGTTACCTCGACTTTGAGCTTCCAGCCGATATTCAAACTTTGAGCCACCCACATTTATGTTATCTTTGATACTATCTGCAAACTGGAGGATAGAATGGTCGCTATGTAACTGTGGTGAGTTGGCGTTTCTTAAGATAACGTTATTTGCTGTCCAACTGTTGGTGTGGCTTGCGACCAATAATGTCCATCCCCCACCATCACGTGACATATCACAGTATGCCAAGATTTCTCTGGAGCCAGTGGGGTTAATCTTGTAAACGCCGTCGGGATAGTAATGGTTTTTCTCATTGCCGATTTGCTGTAATTGTCGGCAGGAAATAACCACTAAAATGCAAACGAAAAACAGGCACAACGCTAAGTATACGGATGTACATGCATTTCGAGAGGTGAAAAGACAATAACAGTTGGAAAGGGGATACTTATATGCCCAAGACGTATGTGCAGATGCCCAGGAGTTTGAATTTGGCAATTACAGGACAGGTACGTAAATACCCGTTTTGACCTTATAGACGCTTACAAATTCATCTTAACATTTGTAAAACTTCGATGTAAGCTGTAAAACTGTAAGTATTCCCACAAAGTTTTGTGCAAATATCCCTTACAAAAGGCTGACGTAACACAAGCGATTTTTTTCACTCACCAGGACAGCTTTCTGTATTGCAATCTTCTTGTTCATGCCGATCTCCAGGACAGTCATCTCCGCCATGTAAGGGAAATGGATTGTCACAGAATCGATGCCTTTTTCTCTTTCCTCCATCGCAACCTTTATCACACACAGTCCACGATGACCACTCCCCCCATGCGCCATTGCGAGGAACTAAAGCTGATTTATTGGAATTTCATTAATTTTGTCTTCATTCAAGAAACATAAAAAAATCAGAATATAACTACACAGAAGGTTTTGCTGGAAAAAAAGCAGATTGGCTCATCTGTCAAGGACATGAATAAATTGTTGAGGGTTGTAAAGGCATGTTCTCGATTTTATACATGCATTTCTTCATTGCTTATCAAGCCAGAATTACATTGCGAAATTGGAGATATCGATGTGAATCAACGTTTTTTGGTTATTGAATCAAATTTCTGTTGATATTATTTGAATAACATCCTTTCATATTTATAAAACTATCCATAACATATAACTTTACAGCGCTCTATTAATTTTAATGTCAATAATTTTCAATATCAATACTTGTCGTCGCGGCTTGAAGTCTTAAATAGAATCCTAGCGCTGTTACAAAGGAAGACGTTAATTGAAACAGAAAATCGCACATTAAAATGCCCTCTTTTTTCGTCGCCACCCAGGAGGATTTGACAGCTCAAGAGTCCCTACCCAAAAAAATGCTAATTCCTGGGGGTCAGCCCGGGGGGGCTGGGCGCAGGTGGTCCTGGTTATAATTCACATAAAAATATCCGTCACACCTGAAGCACAGCCGTCCTTGGGATCAAATCCACCCTCACAATGACATAACTGATCGTTTTTACACACCTGAGAATAAAGGAAGCTATTATAAATCACAAGGTGTCTGCTGCTTTTTAAGCTGACATAATTTCCCGGCAATCTTTCAAAAATTTGTTGACTTGATTGACTTGACTTGACTTGATTGACTATCACGATGATGATATAATCGTCGGTCTGTTAGTTATAATTACGCGATTTACACACTCAGTTTTACTATTAACATATTTATTTGATAATTCCCTAGGTTCAACAATGTTCTTTGAAGTATCAAACAGATGCATCGTCTCGAGTATAAGTAGGTTAGGATCCTTGACAAATATATCAGTTGGAAGCGGGACAAAATTTTACTGAATGATTTGTCAAAATATGTCCTTACCTTACTGCAGTGCCGAGGTTTTGTGCAATAATCAGTTTCATTATTATCACTTTGTCAGGTATGTGGTGCATTTTGCGGGCTAAAATGGAAAATTTGGGGGCCTAACTAAGGGCCTGTTTACGTGGAGTGGAGGACCCCGCTCTAGTGGGGTTGGTTTCTTTTGTTTTCACGCTGTGGGGGACACAAAACAAAAGAAACCTACCCCACTAGACCGGGGTCCCCCACTCCATGTAAACAGGCCCTAAACGCTGAAATAAACCAATGAAAGGAGAGGGTCGAACAGTCACGCGATGTAAGCAACCAATCAAAATCGAGAGGCCATTGCTTTGTTCACGCCATTTTCTTGCGTCGTTTGTCAAAGAAATCACGCTATCATTTTCAAAGCTCAAATAGGCCCTTTGCAGCTAGCCATTCACGTGGTACAAAACCGCCGTGCTGGAGAGCAAAAGTCGCACTTGGACAAGACAAACAAAGAAAGTTACCATTTAACAATTAGTTCATGCGTCAGCGTGCGTATGTCGAGATATTGAGCACGCGGGAAGTTTGGAGAGCACGAAAGAGGCGTAAGAGTTGCACGAGGCGCAGCCGAGTGCAACTCTAGCCTCTTGAGTGCTCTCCAAACTTCCCAAGTGCTCAATAACTCGACATACGCACAGCTGCAGCATGAACTAATTGTTTTATAACATCATCAAAGCGATCAATGCATCAGTTAACTTATAATTTTATTATTGTAGGGTGCGCTCAAAGCAGTACGCGTCAATGTTTACGTGACTATATATTTTTTTCCTCACAGTTAATCTTATGTTTTTATCCTGAAACTGAGAGAAAGTGTACTCTAAAATGATTATAAAATCCATATTTAGGTGCTGGAAAACTATTAATTTACCGAAAAATTGTTATTGAGAGAAAACAAGTTTGCAAAGAATGAACTCACGCCATAGCCCGCACAGCTCGCGGAGATGACAACAACAACAACAACACTCACCTCTTTTCCTTACTATCGGTTAACAAATTCAAACGTTTCCTCTTAAATTTCCTTATAAAACACATCGTAAACGCTTCCTTGTCTATTGCTGAGTTATGGATGCACTCAGGAGACTCAGGATTGCTAAGCTCACAACCACTCGAGGAATTACGAATAGTTTATTGACGTCATCAGCGTGCTCAATAGGAATATGAAGCACGCTCGCGCTATTGAATTTGATTAGGCGAATTTTCTAGCTATGTTATAATTAAAATTATGTATGTCTTTTGTTTGTCTTGTCCCAGTGCGACTTTTGCTCTCCAGCGCGGCGGTTTTTTACCGCGTGAATGGCTAGCTGCAAAGGGCCTATTATGGCTGAAACCACAAAAAACAGCAAACAATTTCTTGATCTCCTCAGACAAAGGAAGAAGATCTACAAAAGGAAGTTCTGATGTAAACAACGCCTGTAGTTGCTCCATAGTCGGCGACGAAGTTTAAGTAACTTTGGCGGCTTCAAACCAAACGCACTCAGTTCAGCTAGACTGTTAGTTAAACACGATATTGGCTACGGTCACATCTACGACGAAACTAAAGTTTAACTTAAGATAGCGTCAAGTTACGTGATGTCATACCTAACTGTAGTTAGTGCTTTCGGTCGACATTAAGGTCACACCACGCAGTTAACAAGAGTTAGTTCTAAGTAAATTCTTTTGTTGTTGTTTTTGGTTTCCTCCTCGCTTCACGCTTGGTTTTTATTTTGCATATTTATATATGCTCATCTCGCGCGTGCGAAAAGAAGTGTCACATTCTGATTGGTTGTTTGTTGGTAAACTTAAGGGAGAGACCATTAGAAAACTTATGGGGGGGGGGGGGGCGGGCGAAGTACAAAAAAAATATTCGCGCAAGGGAAAATTGTATGAAAAAAATTCTTGAACGCCAATTAATCATAAAAATATTTATGTTATGGCCTAAAAGCAATTCATTCAAGGACTTTGATAAGGAAAAAAAATTCCTGCGGCTCGAAAATTCCCCCCCCCCCCCATAACTTTTCTAATGGTCCGTTCCTAAGACTAACCCACGAACCCTGCTTGGGTATAACTAGTTAGTCTGTATTGTTTTGGATCACCGAGGCGTAAATTTTCTAACTATAGTTAGAGCGAACAGAGCTGAAGCGGTCACATTTTCTTTTACCGAAAGGCTTCTCGTTTAGCTATAAACTACAACTGTTTAGTTGCCTTGAATTTCATAGTAGTTATCCCCGTCATACTATAGTTAATAAGCCAAGACGAATTTGACCGTCAGGTTACTTTCTTCCCATTGTAATATTTTTGCCCAGTTATATTTTTTCGGGGCAAACATAAAGCCATTCAACATGTATTTAAATGTTCTTTCAATCTTCTCGATTACTCCAAGTCACTAACTTTGTCAAATGTAGGCGAACGTGATTTGTTTATTCAGACTCTGTTCTTCTCAGTTTTTTAAGTCATTATTTTCTCATTACTTTTTTTACGTGATAAAAATAGTAATTATAGTGTTTATGTTCTTGGGCATAAATATGTTTTGAGCCCAGCGTGCTCAGAGCCCATTTTAACCTTTGCCTAGTGGCTCGGGCTAAAATTGTAATGATTCTAAGTCGAGTTCAAAACAGATCTATTTATTCTCGCGAACATAAACTCTACTGTTTTATTATTTCACGATCCACTTACCCCTCTACCTCCGCATTCTTTGTTACCCACTAATGGACACTTGCCGATGTTCAGCTCACTATATGACTGGCATTTGTAATTGACACACATCTAAGATAGTTGCAATTAACAAAAACACAATTAAAAGTAATTCAATTTGTCTTCCAAGACAAGATAGTGTTGAATTAACCCCGTCAGTTTTAACGTAACTACACATATCGGTACTGCAAGTAGTTAAATAATCAGATCATTCACTGAATGGTAACTTTGTAAACATGGTAAACTGACCAACATCTTCGCTCGTCGTTGATTATGGTGTTTCTGCTGTCAGCCATTTGAATCGACAGGCAAAAAAATTGGAATTTTCTCTACAATAATTCAACATTAATGGGCCACAAGACCTAAAAATTTCAAGTGATATATCAAGCATGATACATTTTGTGTTTCATCACCAGACGAACAAACTGGGAAGAGAGTTGAAAATACAACGCGCAGCGGAGTATTTTTGACGAACTTAGAGGTGTTTCAAGTGGTGATGAAACACTTTGTCGAATGCTTGGTATTACTTCTGAAACAAAATGATTTTAGAAGGAGAAATTAAGGATGTCAAAATGAGCAGTGTTTCATCTGAAGTCCAAAAACTCATTACACATAAATTTCCGTTGTATTTTCTTCATGAATTATTAATAAGTGTGAGAATTATCATAAAAGAATCCATCGTTTTCACATAGAACATAATACACCTTGTTTACATCCCATAAATTTCCCCATGAATTATTAATAAGTCTGAGAATTATCATAAAAGAATCCATCGTTTTCACATAGAACATAATACACCTTGTTTACGCCCCCCCCAAAAAAAACACACGCGCACACTAACACATCAATTTTTTACATAACTATTGTTTTCGATTGGGACGACTGTGATACCCAGGAGAAATTAGAAACAATGGTTATACAAAATTTGGGGGGTAAACAAGGTGCATTTATATGGTCTATTTTTTTACAATTTACAATTTTTTATGGCGTTAAAACGCAGAAACGTGTGCCTGGGCCAGGTTGAACGTCAAAGGTTTGCTGTTACGACAGACGGAATGATGCATCTGGCACCTAAACCCTATACTGAGTATGTTTCAGTTAAGATATAAAAAAAGCATTTAGTTAGGTGCTTCCCATATATCTTATCAGTGGACGTTACACGTGCTCAGAACCTAGAATTTTGACTTGGACTTAACCTTGTTGATGCCACATTTTGTTCCTTCCCTAACCATTCCAAGACCGGCATCATCTACCGATTTTAGAGCCGCACCACTGTTGAAAAAAAAAAAAGAAACGCGACGAGGAACTTGTTAAGCTGAGAGGAAAGTACTTATACAATCTTCTTTTTTCAAGCTATATTTAATATAATTTAGTTCAAACCTAAAGGATTAGACGTTCAGTTTTCTTTTCCTTGGTAAATTTTTAAAGCTCCGTTACACACTTTAACGGCCGTGCACAATCCGCGGCTTACACTATAATAATTATAAGACACGAACACTCCGTATAAATGGTATAAAATATGCGGTCACGGCCAGCTCAAGCCACGGCTTATCCTTGCCAAGAAGTTTTGGGCTGGGCTTATCCAAGCCCCGGCTTAACCTTAGACGTGAGAAGCGATCGTATACTAAATGGACTAAAACGTCGTCCTCGCTTGCTGAAGCCATGAACGACTGCTTTGCATACGTCTTCTTTTTTTTTTTTTTCATTTGCGCCGGTTCATTCGTTTTAAAGCTGAAGTACGTCGACAAACAATCTGTTCATTGGATGTTGTGGTCTCCTCGCTCTCTGAAATTACCAGACGACACTTTTATATAGGATAAATTTTGATATCCGTTGTAAGAGTTAAGCGCGTATCCATTATGTACAAGCATAGACTATTCACAGTCCCCTGTTTTTTCGTAAGGTCGCGAGCGCTTATCGTAAAATAGCCAACTTGATTGCAACTGCACCTCCCAAACTGCCAAACCGTCCCCTACCCCCTCAGTAGATATAATACTCATACCTGGGGTAGACTCGGTACTGATTTTAAACTAAGATAGCCGCTAAGGAGGCAGCGTGGTAGAGTTGTTAGCGCATCGGACTCGCAATCCGGCGATCCCGGGTTCGAGTCCCGCTCACTCGGCCACTTGCTGGATTTTTTCTTGGTCATCCCGAGTTTAAATCTTTGGCCACGCTTGTAAATAGCCAACTGGTTGCCTCCTGCCAGTTGGGGTTTGTAATCCTGTTATGTTGTATTTGAATTATTTGTTTCTGAGTATTAGAGGGGAATGCCTGTAAACTAGCTGGATAAGCTAAGTGCACTTACGAGCCTTTAAACCTTTTTTTAAAAAACCGCTGGTAATGATGACTGCTCGATCTAGACCACCTTACGGAAATAGAGGGTGCGGCCGTGAAAAGTTTAGTTCAAGCAATTTATTGTTGTTGTTGTTGTTGTCTTTTTTTTTTTGCGACTTATTTCCAGTGCTAAGCAAAATATGAACACCAGGACGAGATCTACGTTGCCGGAGCAATAATCTTTTATCACTGGTTTTGGACACTCTCTACTATGAGAACAAACCTGCACTGTTTCCCGTTGTCCAGAGGAATCTTGGTGTAGCTCCATCCATAATCAACCACCGGGGAACTTCCACTGTCTTGACATTGTAGCTGACCGCATAAAACGTTACTGCGGAGAAAAGAACCGATTAGGAAAGATTACTCACGGTCAATTTTGATATCAAAAGCTACAACAATTAAATGAAGCATGTCGATTTTAACAGGAAAACGCATTTTGTCTCTAAGAATAATTCCGTCCCCGTCTATCGATGACGTAAGTCTTAATATACCAAGAGTGGCAATTTCTAAAAATGGCTTGATAATAAAAACAGTAACTGAATTAAATGAGTGATAAAGGAATAAGCCCTATACAATAAAGCAGCTATATGGTTAAAAAACACATTGAAAAGAAAAAATAGAATTTATATGACTCCACTTGGTTCATTCTGTCCCTTAGCGTTGTTTTAGCCTGCGTTGCAGCCGGACCACGCATTCTCTAAACCATCTGTATAGTCCGTCTGCGAATTAGTGCACATATTAAGCTCGTTCCAATAACCTGGCAGGCAGAGTCGCAAGGACATATGTGAGCGTTTCTGATAGGAAGGTTTCTTACGGGTTTCTTATGCGCCTCACGATTGGCCTATTCTTACGTGGGCGTGACGGTTGGGCGCATTGACGTCAAAAATCACAGCAGGGAGTTAGCAAGGATCGTTTACATTAAACAATGAAAGAGCAGTTCCAACTTGAAAGCCTTCTTGTGAACAAAAAAATTCCTTCAAGGCCAGAATTTGCGATTGCTTGTAAATTTGCCGACTGGTTTTTCAGCATCTTCCAATCGCTGCAGATGCACTTCCGCGTATTGTGCAATTACTGCTATCTAGCCGACAGTTCTAGCTTCAAAACAACAACAGGTGTAGACACGGCACATGTGGCTCTATATTCAGGTCCAGACATTTCGGAGAAAACCAAAGAAACTAAGGTCATTTAGCGGCAATAATAAAGCTTAAGGCTTAAACTGAGGGAAAAGAAAATCATTTAATGGTAAACTGCATTTGTGATCAGAAAACATCTGCCCAAACGTAAAGCCGACAGGAACTAACTACTTATAAATGTGAGACTCAATGCGGCAAAAATAAGATTTACTTAGTCAAAGTGTAGAATACTCCATGCACGGCATAATCTACGCAAAAAGAGAGCAACAAAGACCTCTGTTGTTCAAGCTTCACGTTTCCCACTATCACTAGCTCAAACTCTCTTGTAGTTAGCCTACGAATACAGCCGTTTCTTCTCGCTCCTCGCCGCTAGGGCGTTTCGCCAGAGAGACGTCTGTGCCTCAGCGAGAGAAATTCTATACTGATGAAGTAAATCAATGTTTATGAAATTAATCGTTCATCTGCGAACGAGCTCTAGTAAATTCGAAAATGCTTCTTCTAGAAAGAAAGAATATATATTGATTGTTTTGTTAAATATTCATCATGTTTACATCTGACCTTTGTGGCTTTTTGTCTTTTGTCTGTCATTAGTAATCAATAGCTAAAACAATATAACTACTACGTCGATCAATCAGAGCACCCGACCAGATTCCGGAGAGATTTTACGTCATCAGACGTCTCTCCTGGCGAAACGTACCAAGCGGCGAGGAGCGAGGAGAAAAGGTTGTTTTTGCAGGCTATCTTGTCACGAGCTGTTAGTCGTGTTTGGCCTGTCAACACTTAATTCAACTCGTACTAATCACAAACTAACCAACAAACTAGCCAGTCAAAAAAGCCGACATATGTTCTTGCGACTCTGCAGGATTCGAATTCGATATTGAGCACTAATTCGCAGACGCTCCATACGTTGTTTGCGGAAAAACCGTCAGGTATGCGTGACACTTGTGCTCCAAAAGTTGATAAGGTGATATTCGGTAAAAAAAAAAAAAAATCAAAAAGTGTCAAATATTTTAAAAAAAACAGAAACGTTTCGGGTTTATGACCCTTCTTCAGTGTGCGAAAAAACCGTTGCACAGTACTAAGCAAAACCACTGAGACATACAAATTATCGGAGCGAGCGCGCGTGTAATTGCGAAATGTTTCAGCGAACATCTAAGAAGTACATGCAACAACACTCCTTGGTTTCCTGTCCCCCAACATTTCAACTCCACTCGCCATAGTATTTCTGATGTCCAGGTGCGTGGCGTGGCGTTATGCAGTAGTACTAATATTAAACGAAAGCAACGTGAGATGCGATTGATTTTTCAACTAGGCGCCGTTCAGCCGAAAGGACTGAATATCACTTTCAGTTTTATTTGAACTGGGACAATATATACATCTTGCGCGCGCTATTAAACGCGCGCGCAGTTCGATCATTTTTATGTCTATATAGTATGTGCGTTGTACTGTACAACGGTTCGTTCGCATACTGAAGAAGGGTCATAAACCCAAACGTTTCTGTTTTTTAAAAAAACATTTGACACTTTTTTTTTATTCGTTACCGAATATCACCTCATCAGCAACGTTGTGTGCGTCTAAGTTGACTCTCTTACTAAAAAGAGCCGATTGCAGCTCTCGTATAATAAGGAGAACTATCGTGAAGAATATAATCCGCTGATACCAGCCTCCCTCAATCTTCTTATACTACGCTTTTTTTACCTTGCAGCACACGATGTATTTGTAGCTGGATCACATGTACCGTAACCAGCAGCCTCAGTGTTCAGTTTATCATAACAACTTTGGTCGGCGTTTCTTGCGGCTTGAGACAATATGATAAAAATGTTAGTGTACTATCCTTATAGCAACTCCTCCCCCCCTAGCTTTTCTTCCCTCGTTAACCGAGTTTTTAGACATTAAATAAAAAAACTAATTCTAGAATTTTGGTTGGCTTGGTCATCATGGTATATGGGCTCATATATTATGGGTGTTCGTAGAATATATGTGAGTCGTGGAGTTGCGAGTTGCAAGATAAGATGGGAGTCGCTAGTTGTGAGTTGCATGTTGCGAATTGCGAGGTGCGAGTTGCTAGTTGCGAGTTCTCAAGTTGCGAGTTGCGGGTTGCCTGTTGCGAGTTGAGAGTACTGGAAAATTGTCGAGCACATCTTCAGTCTGTCTGTTCAGTCAATCTAGAGAAATTAAAAGGCACATCTTGCGACTAAATAACTAAATAAAACGCTGTCGAACGATCACGTCCTTGGTCCGACCTCCCTGGGCCTAAAACCGTTTTCAGACAGTTAGTTTAAGAATTTTGAAAACAGAAGAACTCAAATGAGAAATAGCTTGCCGGTTATCCGAGCTAAGGAACGAGTACTCCTAGTCCACAACGTTCAGTCGACAATGGGACGTTAAATAAATGTCGTGGCTTTTAAATACGATCTCCGTACGCGTGGATTTAGTGAGCGTATAAGGACTAGACTCCTCTATTTGCGTGACGTTTAGTCATATCTGCTTTAACGAATACTCTTTTAGTAATTTTTGTTACGATTCTTTGTTGTTGTTGTTTTTATACTATTGCCGAGAACTTAAAATGTGCTTGCTAAAGTGATTCACCCACTGAGAAACAATACTCGCTGACATTTTCTTGTCTCGCTAATTGGTAATGACCCACCAAATCTCAATTGTTTGAGTATCAATGTGCTTCCTAAAGTGATTCACTCACTGAGAAACAATACTCGCTGACATTTTCTTGTCTCGCTAATTGGTAATGACCCACCAAATCTCAATTGTTTGAGTATCAATTTTTTTTTTAGGTTGAAAATCGCTCCGATTCATTGTAAAATTCATTTATGGAAATATTTTTTATTATTTTAATCCTCCAACACAGCCGCTGCGAGAACACTTAATAAAGTAGCGAACACCAACGGAGGAGATATTTTGAGGATTTTTACGATACTTTCTATCGTTTTTTTTTTTCTGTTATCCTTGCTAGCCTATACGAGATTCCCTATTTTTTCAATATTCTTAGTAAGAAAATATGTGTTTTTCTTTTACTAAACGCTAATAAATGTTCTTGTTATTCTCTGAAGAGCAGTGTCACCACCATTGTAGTTCAAATATGGAATAATGGATTCCAATCTTAACAGTTTGGTTGAGACCAAAGAGTCGTAACACATGCACACACACTGTCACAGTAATTGCTAAGTATAACGGTGGCGCAAGCCGGACAAAAGTAAATAATTCTGTTATTTACCCTCGGCAGTATTTGTAGCACTAATTCTAGTGGGCCCGAACAAATCATCTGAAACAAAGAATTCAAATTAGACTTAACAGGGTTAATAATCCCAACTGATCGGAAGCAAACCAGCTGGCTATTTACAAGCATGGCCGAGGATTTCAACTCCGGACTACCGTGAACAAATCCAGCTAGCGGTCAGAGCGGGACTTGAATTCGGGGCCTCGGAATTGCAAGCCCGGCGCTCTAACCACTCGACCACGCTGCCCTTGCAATTGGATAAATTATCCAACAGAAAATGCAGCAGGCGCAGGTGGTAGAGTGGATAATTGAGAGGTTTTAGCAATTTAAAGAAGAAACGGTTATTAACATATTCGGGTATATCCAGTTTAGTGCCTAGACGTTCGATTTCTTAACGGTCACTGGATTTAACGCGAAGTCAGCATTTACCATTCCCTTGCCGAGAGAGAAGAGAGATTAAGCATCGCGTGAATTTGTACCACGTATCGAAATTTCCCCTTTACTTGTCTTCTACTGTTCATTATAATTACACGAAAATCGGTAGATTCACGCCAATTCTATCCATAAGAAGTAACTGTTAAAATTTATCTGATAATTTCACATCTTGAAAATTTCTCAGATTGAATCTCACGTTTGCCGTATGCCGTAAACACGATGCTTCATCTCTCCAATGCTGAATGTCATACTTCTGACACCCAACCAGAACCAAACCAACCAGAACCAACCCATCCAGTTTTTTAACTTTTTAGCTAGTTGAACCAAGTACGTGATCGTTCGACAGCGCTTTATTTCCTTAGTCAAAAGATGTTACTTTTATGAATCAACAAATTTTCCAAACGAATTTAACTACCCTACCCTTTCAATTGACTGAAGAGACAGACTGCACCTCGCACCTCGCAACTCGCAACAATTAACTAGCAACTCGAAACTCGCAACTAGCAACTTGCAACTCGCAACTCGCAACTCGCAACTAGTAACTAGCAACT